GGGGGTGGGGGGGCAGAGCAGAGGCGCGGGTGCGTAGCGCCATGTGTGCCTTTGCCGCCAAGGAGGTGACGTCACCGCCCGCTTTATGGATGACGGGCGAGCGCGGGCCGGACCAAAGTGCTGGGGAAGTGGGCCCCGGCTGGCCCTGGCTGCTGGCCCCACTGGCCCCTGGCCCGTGCACCGGGAGGTCACGCCCCGCCCCCCGCCCCGAGATTACATCCAGACGCGATGCGCGGCCCAGGGAATTGGGGCCAATTGCGGGAAGTAAACGAGTGGTCACGGGGTCGAGTCGGGGAGAAACACCCTCGCAAAGTCTCGCCGTCGTGGATCCCCGAGTAGGGAATGGCTATGCATGTCGCTGCTACAACAGTGGAGTAAGCGGGTTGCGAGGCTCGTAGCTTTTACACGGTCCGTTGTACTTTGTGTTGAGAGTACCATCGGCGGGGTTATTATTTGCCAATTTGTTCTCAATCTGGGCGCTATAGCCTTCCGCGCATATATCACCATATGACCAGCGGCGTAATTAGTGGCCGCTGGCTAACGACTCATTGTGAACCCCGCCGCCTGGCTACCGGTGCCCGGCGTGGCCCGGCGTGGCGTGACGGGATGCAGGCCCAACAGGTGCCATGAGGCAGCCAGGCGTGGCGCGGCGTGGCGCGGCGTGGACCACATTTCCATTATGATTAAGTGCCCCAAAAAAATGTTAAAGAAAGGGTAGAACATGAGAAAGGGTCGCCTTCCCCATTGTTGTAGAATTTCTCCCTGTGGGAATTCCCTTGTCTCTCTCCCTGTCCGCCCGAGCCCAGTGGGACATTCATATCGGATCTATATCGTTTCGACGTCGATTCGCCATCGTTTCGATGTCAATTCAACTTTCATTTCGCGCTGGGGAGTTCACTGTTGGTTTGACTATTGGTGTTCTGTTTTGCAGTGGCAGCTCGACTCGTTCTTCGGCAGGCCGCGGACGAAGGGTCGCGGCCCTTCCGGACAACAGCCAAGACCCCCCTCAGATGGGTACTTCAATGAGCTCGAGGAACAGGAGAATGCCATCTCCGAGCTGGATGAAAATTCCACTAATGACAAGTTTGAAGAAATGCTTGTAGGTTTTTCTCTCCCCTCTCAAGTTTCACATATTTTTCCCACATTTGAAAAATATTGTCATTTTCAATCCTTTCTCTTAGGATGATATGAACCTGACTGAAGAGAAGAAAGAGCCGTTACGGATGCAACCTACTGAGAATAAGAAGAAAATGTTAATAAATCATTACAAAGGACTGACTCAGGTATCTAGGTCAAAACATATATTTTAGAGGTGCAACCTTATTAGGTGATGCATTGATTTTCTTTTTGTGTATGTGTATTGCAGGAAAGCAGAAACAGACTCGACAAGCCAGCTGACTACATAAATTATCTATCCACACCAGATTTGAGTGTTAACAAATTGACTGCTTGTATTGAATCTCTCAGGATAGCCCTTACCAATAATCCTTTGAAATGGGTTGAGGAGTTCGGTATGAAAGGACTTAAGCAGGTGTTGAATGTTTTAAATGAGTGTTATCGCAAGTAGGTGCAGTGGAAAAATTTCCCATTTTTATTTTTCATCTAGTTTTTATTTTAATTTTTTTTATTAAACTCTGTGTTTGTTGCAGCGACTCCCGATATGACCGCATTCAGCACGAATGTATTAGGTGCTTAAGGGCATTTATGAACAATACAAATGGCATCAGACAGACATTTTCACAACGTGAGGCTCTCACAATTTTGGCAAGGTCGATTGACCCGTCCAAACCCTCAGCCATGCTGGAAGCAGTGAAACTGCTGGCTGCTGTGTGCTTGATTCCTCCTCCCGATGGAAAGGGAAAAGATGGCCATGAAAAAGCTCTAGAGGCTATAACAATGAGTGGAGAATTTAAGGGTCGAGAGAGATTTGAGCCTATTGTCCAAGGTCTGCTCATTAAAGAAAATGAGAAGGCTTTGCGGGTAAGCTTAATTAAATTAATCCATTAAACCATCATTTCTTGAAAAATTGTGTTTCAATAACTATTTTTGTGTAATGAATTGCAGGTCGCTTGTTTGCAACTGATCAACGCCATCATCACACAACCTGATGACTTAGAGTATCGCTTGCATCTTAGAAATGAATTTATGAGAGTGGGCCTATTGGATGTGATTGAGGTATAATTTGTCTAAAAACCATCAACACTTTGTATGGAAAGATCTTAAATTTTATTTTTAAAATGTGTACTTACTGTTCCCCTCCTTTTATTTTAGAACCTAGAAGAAGATGCCAATGAGGATCTTCTCACTCAACTCAAGATCTTTAAAGAACATAAGGATGAGGACTTTGAAGAGTTCATCCAAAGGTTTGACAATGTCAGACTGGAGTTGGATGATGTCAATGACTGTTTTGAAATGGTCAAGAATTTAGTCATGGATACTGCCGCCGAACCATATTTCTTGTCAATTCTCCAGCATTTTCTCTTTATTAGAGATGATGCTCAGATAAGGTAGTGTGTTGCTATATTTGAACATTACTTGTAGGTGTAAGCAAGTTTTACTCAGCTTAATAAATAATATAACTTTTCCTTTCTCCATAGACCTGCTTATTTTAAATTATTAGAAGAATGTGTATCACAAATAGTATTACATCGGGGTGGTTGTGATCCTGATTTTAGGTCTACTAGACGCTTTCAAATTGATGTTCAACCATTAATTGATACTCTTGTTGGTAAGCATTGTGTTTAATGTTTGTGTAAATAGTAAAATATGTGTGTTTAATCTCATGATTTGAGTTTGTATAACTGATATGCTCCGGGCTTTCAGAAAAGTCAAAACTTGAGGATGAAAGGAGGATAGAGGAGCTGCAAATGAAATTGGAGGAAGCTCTAGCCTTACGTCAGGAAACTGAAGCAAAGCTGCAACAAAGTGAGAGAAAACTGTCAGAATTGCAACAATCTGGGGTTTCAGTTGCGTCACCAGGCAAGGTGAGAAGTGATTGCAAATTTGTGAAAGAGCATTTGAGCCTAATTTTAAGAATGATGCTGTCTCTTTATTTTTTGATGGTGTATACATTTGCATGGTCATTGCATAATTTTGAAACGTTTGTTTCCATTTTAGCCACCTGCGCCTCCACCTTTTCCTGGCTTTCCCCCAGCGCCACCGATGCCGGGCGCACCACCCCCACCCCCACCTCCCCCAGGGCTTCCAGGAATGTGTCCACCACCTCCTCCCATGCCTGGTGGCATGGGCGGGCCACCTCCCCCACCTCCGCCCCCAGGAATGGGGCCTCCTCCGCCCCCCTTCCCGGGTATGCCCGGGATGCCTCCACCACCCATGTTCCCTGGAGCACCTGCTGCACATAAGCCTCCAGACGTTTTACCACTTGGTCTCAAACCTAAGAAGAAGTGGGATACAGATGGTCCTTTGAAGAGAGCAAATTGGAAAGCTGTATGTGGCAATGCATTATGTTTGTTTTGATTGATTTTTACATAAGCTTCTACTAGAATATTAACTGACAAATTTCTCTCTAGATTGTGCCTCACAAGTTATCTGAGAAGTCATTTTGGGTCAAGGTCCACGAAGAAAAACACGCATCTCCTGATATACTTAATGGCCTTGCTCAGCGGTTTTCATCAAAACCAACAGCCAAGAAAATTGATACGGGAGACAATGGTGTAAAGTGAGTCAACATTGATTAAATATTAAACCCTCCATAAATGTTATAGTACTTATGTTGTTTTTTTGTTTTTTTTGTATTTTCTTTCCCTCTAACCAGGACAGGCACCCTCAAGAAAGTAAAGGATTTGAAGGTTCTGGACAGCAAGGCTGCCCAAAACATATCAATTCTGCTTGGCGGCTCATTAAAGCATCTCAGCTACAATGATGTCAAAAAGTGTATCCTTCGCTGTGATGATGCTGTTTTGTCAGACAATGTCCTCCAGCAGCTCATTAACTATTTGCCATCCCCAGATCAGTTACATAAATTAGAAGAGTACCGTAGTCAATATGATGATTTGACCGAGGCTGAACAGTTTGCTATAACTGTGAGTTTCCTTCTTGAACCATTATTATGTATAGCATTTATCTGTTAAGTATTGAAAATTTTTATTAATTGCATGTGCCTTTTTTTGATTTAAGCTTGCTGAAATTAAGAGACTGCTACCTCGGCTGAAATCAATGAGTTTCAGGCAACATTACAATGAAATAGTTGCAGATGTGAAACCAGTATGTTTTCCTTTAATAGTTCCTAGATGCAATGACTAGTTGTAAAAGTGACATCTTATTTAAACTTCTTATCTTTTACAGGATATTGTTGCTGGCACAACTGCTTGTGAAGAAGTAAGACGTAGTAAGAAATTTGCTGAAATACTAGAACTGATCCTTCTTTTAGGAAATGTAATGAACAGTGGTTCAAGAAATGGTCAGGCATTTGGATTTGAGATTAGTTTCTTACCAAAGGTATGTATTTACCGATTGCTCCATATTTAACTACATGAGCTGATGAGCTACTAATAATAATTGTGTGCCTTTATTCTTCAGTTAACAAGTACAAAGGATGTTGAAAATAAAACAACCTTGCTTCATTATCTTGTGGAGACTATTGAAAGCAAGTTCCCACACTTATTATCATTTGAGGATGAGCTACGACACGTAGATCGCGCAGCTCGAGTGGCTGTGGACAGTATTCAGAAAGCTCTTCGGCAAATGGATTCTAGTGTTCGAAATCTCGAAACGGACCTCAATAATTGTAAAGTGCCTCAGAGCGAGGATGACAAATTTGTTCAAGTCATGGGTGTATCCTTTACCTGCTGCATCCATTACTAATTAAAACATTTGCTTATAATGTCATACATACTGTATGTCATGAAAGCCATCCATCTTCTCCATTTTTGTGTTTTATTTTCCTTAATGTGTATCCAGTCTTTTGCAAAGGAGGCAAGAGAGCAATGTGAGATATTGCAAAGTATGTTCAAGAAAATGGATGCCCTGTATACTGATTTATCTGAATTTTTCTCCTTTGATAAGCTAAAGTATACTTTAGAGGAGTTCTTCACTGATGTGAAGTCATTTAAGGATTCATTTTATGTAAGTTTGTGTTCTTCTAAACTTTTACTCTCACATCTCTTAGAGTATATCTAATCCACATTGTATTTGTTTTCCCCTTCAGCAAGCCTTTAAAGATAACCAAAAGGTAAGGGAGGCAGAAGAAAAGAGCCGAAGAGCAAGGGAGGCCCGAGAAAAGGCGGAAGTTGAAAGAGCCGATCGAGTAGCACGAAAACGAGCTCTTGTGGACATGAATACCGCTCAAGCTCAAGAGGGTGTCATGGACTCTCTACTTGAAGCTCTGCAGTCTGGCTCCGCATTCAGCAGAGATCAACGTCGAAGGCGACCGGGTCAAAGACCTGCTGGAGGTGAATATAAATTTGATTTTTTTATTATTATTATTGATTAAACAGTCTTTGGCATTGTTTTTTCACCTACCTATTTATCTGCTTGTAGCTGAAAGAAGAGCTCAGTTGAATAGAAGTCGTTCGAGGTCAGGATTAGTAGGTGGGGCATTGACCAGTAGAGAACTATCTAGGTAGGTTTTTTACATATGATTCATAATTTTATTTTTAAGCAGTTACATTTCCCTCTTCTGTTTTTAAATTTCTTGTGAACTTCTGTAATTGCCATTGTTATTATTGTCTCTTCTCCATAGTGAACTTCTTGGCAGTGCCTAGCAGTGTGGTCAAGCCTTTGGCAGTTATTGCCATCTGTTTTCTCCTGTGATTTAATGATAGTGTCAAGATCTTGGTGTGGTCACATTGCTCAATAAGCATTTCATAAGTACAATGAACCCTTCATCCAGTATTATTACTGGGCTAAGTATAGACTCAAGATATTTGTCGCAAGGTGTCCAACAACTGTTGTAGAAATTTAGACCTATACTAACAGGATCTTGCTTTCAAGGTAATTCTATTAACTTCTATCATAAAAATAGCAAAGAACTTGCGCATTTGATTTCTGAAAAGTCTAGTTCCAGTTATATCAGACAAAGAGTCAGAAGAATCCAGTTAAGAAAAGTTTGGGAATACTCAGCTTCAATCTAAAGAGCAAACAAAACTTTTGAAATAACTTTGTCTTTCAAATTGTTTCAATGTATTTTTTATGATCATTTGTTGTACAAACAAGACTGAAAACAAAATTGTTTTGGCTTAAATCTTATAATGGAGCCCTGGCTTATTTTGGTGTATTCTCTTGATAAATTTTATACAGTTGACGTATCATAATTTGAATGAAAGTCCAAAGAATTCGGGGTCCAAGCATCATTTTTTCCTGGTACTGAGTTTTTTCTAGACTGGTAGGATTCCAAGTTCTGTGATGTTGAAGTATTTTGGTAGTTTTTGATGCACCTGCATTTTTTCCCTTTCTTGAAAAAGCAAATATTAAGATTCTATTTGGTTTTTCATTTTAAGATTTTTATCGTGAATTTCAATTGAGCCCTCAATGAATTTTTCTTTTGCTCTTTTACAACAACGAATTTTATGTATTAAATCTATCGTATGGTCTATTTACTATTTATTAAAAAGTCTTTAACTAGCTACTTGATTTTTGTTAGATAAAACTCTTGCTCAATTGTGATTCGTCCTCCATATCATTCAGTATGAAAATTCTCAGCTATTTTAACAAGAATAAATGCTGAGTTTTTAGTATGTAAGGTACACATCACCCTTTCCTTAAGTAGGAAAATATTCAATTAAGAGACTTCACAGTATCTTGGTTAGATATACAGTACGCAGGTAAAGAGATAAGATTGTATTAGGGTATTTCTGTTGAAGTCATCCATTCCCAGTATGTTTGTGATTACAAATTCTTAGCTTCTTTAAATTATATGCATGTAGGTATCACTGGTGTGTTGTCGTTTCCTTCGTTGACATATATTTATATATTGTGTACTTATGTATGTTGAAACCTTCCAGTGTAACCTTGGGATATACCCCAAGATGTAACAATCATTGATTTTTATTTGAATTGTTAATTGACTTGTTGTTTTGTTATCCATTCTGTAAATAACACAATTATTTTTGATGTGATTGCCACAAGAATCTATCTATATATATTAAGGAGTTTAGAGAAGCAAATTGTGGGATGGTAATATGTAAATTGTCAATTGTTCTTTTTTTCCAATGTCTTTTGCATCTGTTCTGTTCTGGTACATTGATCTAAAGGATTTGCTCTTACAATTATTTTTCAAATATGTAAGTTACCAACTATGCATAAAAATCATTGATTTAATAACTTTCAGTTAGACCTTGCCATCAATAGCAGTTGACTGTTTCAAGATGACCCCAAGCAGTTGCAGCATGTCTGTTGAGCATAAATGAATGTATTGCAACTCACATGTTTCTGTTTGAACCCTTCACAGAACTAAGTATTTGTCCATGTTGTAATACTGTTGGTGAATGGGTCTTATGTTCTCTTATCCTGATAATTTCAGTGAATATTTCATCTACACAAACAAGCCTTTCCTGTAAATATTGTATCTATTGAGAAGAAAAGGTAGATGAATGGTTCACTGTTGATATTATTTTAAGAGATAATCTTTGAATTAAGCAACTCCAATTGGGTTCAGACAGATTTGCTCTAATCGAATGTAAAAGAAGTAAATCATATTTTATTAAATGGGTTTCCAATAATGTGCCTTATATTTGTTGTCTATATGTGAATAAAATGGTGAACATTAAGCAATGTAAACTCTATTCAAGTCATTTTTCTTAAGCAGATTTAAAAACTGTATATTGAATGAATTTTAATAGTGCTGGCACTACTGTGGTACAAAATGTGAACTTTCACCTGAACTGCCATTATGGGATTATGTGTATAACATCAGTTCTGACAGGCGTAATTTTTTTAATGGCCTCTCAGTAGTTTGTAGTGTGTTTTGGATGTGTAAATTTGTTATCTTTCACTGTGACACTTCTGATGCCAAATCTAAATCATATTTTTTACTATTTTATAATACTTAATGGAATGGGTGCAGATCGACCCCCTGTCTGGAATTTCGTGTGCACTTTAATACTATTTTTTTTAGCGCGACTAAAAAAAGCCCTTATATGAATGGATAGTGAGATCATGATGATTTTATTTGTTATTGTAAGTTACAATAAAGATTGCTTCACTTTATGTGTTCGTCTCGGTGCTCTTCCCTGCGGTTACTCGCGAGGCGGCACTGGCTGCAGGCCTGGGGTTAGGGCCCTAAGGGTCGT